TCCTGGCTCCTGCATGGCCCAGTCTCAGCTGTTGTGGACGTTTTGGGTGTGAACCAGCAGATGAAAGTCTCTCTCTGTCTTTGCTTCCTGCCTTTCAAATAAAGAAGAAATATGCTACTGATGGTTAAGATGTATTCTTCAGGAAGAAGAGTAGTGTGGGCATGTTTGACAGATGCCTTTGTGACAGACTGTGGCAGGGTGAAGTGGGCATGGTAGGAAGTTATTCTGGGCACTACCAGGTCAGATTAGAGCAGAACAAGGAAGTAAATGAAGTATGTGTGTGGAAAACCCAGCCTCTGGCCTTTGTTCTGTGCTGCTGCCTCTACTCTCTCCTCTCCAGTGCCCCTATAAAGGAGCACTTGCTCGTCACATTCTCAGGAGGTGAGTATCCCAACAGTCTCTTCCCCCACGCAACTTGGGACTTATTCACTCCAGGGTGACAGTCAGTAACAACAGCTTCACGTTGTTCTGCTCCTATAAAGTAGCTAGTAATTAAAACTCATATGCAAGACTCAAGGGTGGACATTTTGAAACACTATCAAAGGGTATAAAAGAAGATTTTTAATACAAAGATGGCCAGTGCTCACATTAGAAAGATGTGTTCACCTTAGAAAGATGTTAATTCTCTCATTAGTCTTCAGATTAAATGCAAACACAACCAAAATTTCTGCTGCATGTTTCCAGGAACTTACCAAGTTGATTATAAAATTTATCTGAAATATGTATGAAAATTCTGTGATTAGTTAAGTGAGCCTCTGAAAGTAGAACTAAAGGGGTAGCTTTCCTTTCTAGGTACAATGACTTTTACTGATAATATGGAATTGGCTGCAAGAACACAAATGGAAAACTACATAAATGAATGGAATAAAGTAAATAAATCAGAAATAACTACTTGTACATATGGAAAATTCACGTATGATTGAGGATTAATTGTTTAGTGAACTGTTTAGGGAAAACTGGCTCACCACCTGGAAATGAATGAAACTTGATGCCTTATCTTCAATCTTTTCCAAAAATGAAGATGCAATTATGAAAGGGAAAACCATAGAATAAATAGAATACAACATAGGGTGAAATAGAGATGAAGGGAGGCTTTTTAAACAAAGCTTAGAAAAGTGCAAATCTTACCATGAATAATAATATCTTGGAAATTAAGTTTCCTTCTCAACAAAGGCCAAATGGACCAAGTTAAAGAGCAGAACATTTTGTTTGTTTTGACTACAACAAAATATGGAGCAATACCTCAAATACACAGAGAACTCTTACGAATCAACAACAACGAAAACCACCAAAGCCTCCTTGATTAGTTGCCTTGAGAAATGGGCAACTAATCTAGCCAACTTGTCAAAGTTGGAAACTCACGTGGCTTTAAGTGTACGCAGAAAAATGCAAATGAAAGCAGTAGTGGGGTTCCATTTTGAACCACAAGAGGCTTGCAAAGGTAAAGCTGGATAAAACTAAGAGAGTATGAGGATGTAAGGAAATGGAAATGTAGCTCACTGATGTGAGACAGGAGATTAGTACTGTCTTTCTGGAGAGCAATCAGGCAGTATTTAGTAAAAGTCAATAAATTTATCCCTGCGATTCGGTGGACCTGCTCTTGGATAACTATTCCAAAAGTATTATCCAAAAATGGTATTAAAATAACTTAACAGCTGCATGGCATATTGAACTACTTGGATTTGAGTCCCAGCTTTGTTTTCAGTTCCAGCTTCCTGATAATGCAGACCCTGGGAGGCAGCGGATGATGACTTGAGTCCTTGAGTCTTTGCTACTCACTGATTGAGGTCCTGACTCGCAGCTCCAGCCATTGCAGGCATTTGGAGAATGAAGCAGTGGATGGAAGCTCTTTCTCTCTGTTGCTATCCGATTCTCTGCTTCTCATGTAAGTAAATTAAAAAATGATTTGGAGAGGTTGCTTAGTGCTCAAGGTCTGTGGGGTAGATGATTAGAGACAGTTTAGGTGCCCAATACAAGGGGAATGACTAAATAAAATGTGGGGATACCCACTCTGGAATGCCATATTGGAAGCAGTGGCCACTCACAGTAACATGGAGAGATATCAGATAGACCATCACGCTGAGTGAAAAAGTAAGAAAGAGAACCATTCCCATAAAAATACCTGTATATACTCAACAGCACTTCATATATTACAAGGATGCACAAGTATTCAGAAATACATGTTGAACATTTTAGATCCATGGCCTATAGCAAGGGTAGGGATATGTGTAGGGGGTTAGTGAGGGGGGAAGGAGAATGATGAGGGTGGGAACACACACACACACGTACACACACACACAGAAATTTGTATGAAGCAATGACCATGTACATTGAACTGAGGAGTATGCTGACTACAAATATTTTTACCTGTAAATATTCTTTTTAGAATTGTATTTCAAATAATGCATTTCTAGTTGTGGATTTTTAAGTTGGAAAGTAGTTTTTTTTAAAGTTGTATCTTTAAACGGGCTATCAAAGAAGGAGACACCTTTCTCTGAAGGGAGGAAGGAACCTCCACTGTGATATGGCCTTGACTAAACAAGTTCAGAGTTGGTGAACTCAAGGGGCCTCCACAGCCTCAAAAGCTCATGGCAAGAGCCTCGGGTGATGACTGACGACATAAATAAGAGTTTCAATTGTTAAATCAACAATGGGAGTCACTGTGCACCTGCTCCCCACGTAAGATATCGGTCCTTTACTATGAGAGTTAACGATAACACTACTAGTCGAACAGTACTCTATATCTTGTGCGGTTGTGTGGGCGCAGTCTGTTGAAACCTTTGCTTAGTATATACTAAGTTGATCTTCTGTATATAAAGATAATTGAAAATGAAACTTGATGAAGAGTGGGATGGGAGAGGGAGTGGGAGATGGGAAGGCTACGGGAGGGAGGGAGGTTAGGGAGGGGAAAGCCACAACAATGCAAAAGTTGCACTTTGTAAATTCACATTTATTAAATTAAAAAAAGTATTAAAAAATAAAAAATAAAGTTGTATCTTTAAAAATGCTTATTTATTTATTTTCAACTATTTGAAAATGGTGTGGGGAAAGGTCTTCCATCTACTTGTTCACTCTCCAAATGCCCATAACAGCCAGGGGCTGAGCCAGGCCGAAGTCAGGAGCTTGGAGCCCCATCCAGGTCTCCCACATGGATGGCAGGAACCCAAGTGTTGGGGCCATCATCTGATGCTTCCCAGATGCATTGGGAGGAAGCCAGATCAGAAGCAGAGTTAGGATTTGAACTGGCACTGATATGAGATGTGGGCATCCCAAGTAGTGGCTTAACCTGCTGCTGCACAATACCTTCCCTAGGAAGTACTTTGATTTGTGCAGTCAGTGAGTATGTATTCATCACCTGCTGTATTACAGGCACTGTCCTGGGTACTAGGGCTAGTGCAGTGAATGAGACAGCAAAAGCCAACCTCTGGCTGGGGGCTCCAGTGAGCCCTTCCCGGCAGGTCCAGCATGGCACGCATCCAAGAGCATGGGTAGAGTCTGGTGAGGCCTGGGGTTGTGGTGGGTGGGGCGGTGGCCCTTCGTCTGGAATGGCTTCGAGAGACTTGCAAGTTCACGAGGAGACAACTGAAGAGAAGGCCCATTGTGATTTGAAAGGACTTAGCACATGGAAATATGTACTTGTTTGCCGTGGTGTATCATTTGAGATTCCTGATATAACTGCTCAGAAGTCCACACAGAGCCCCACAGTAGATTTTCACTTTAGGGAGTTTGGTTAAGTTCACTAAAACCTTAGATCCTGGCTCCATTTACCCTGTCTAACCACAGATTGCTCCATCAGGAGCCCAACATGTATAAGAGACGTTTTTGTTACTAAAGACTGCTTTGTAATTTTCTGACATTTTATTCTTATTTAACAGCATTTATTCCTTATTTGGGCGTGATAATGAAGTTTGTAACGAGGACTAGATAAACCTCAATTTTAGAAGTCCCCCAACTACCTCCAAGTGAATTCCCAAAGACAGCAAATGCATTATTTAAATTCACAGATCTATTTGTCCACTCATTCAATATGCTCTTATTGATTCCTTCCCATTCACTGTTCTAAGTGTTGGAGTTACAAAGTTCAAAGAGATGGATTCTTCCCCCAAAGGTATGTGATTCAATGATACCAAAACTTACTTCTCCCTGGGAACAAAACAATACATGATTTTCAGTTTCCTAGGCAAGCCAATGAGAGCTTATTTTACACACAGAATAGCTTAAATCTTGTACTGATAGAATTATATAGTGTTCCAGGCAACAATGGCTGCGTCTCACATGATAGGAAACCCGATAAAGTTTCCTCATGTTTTCTTATGAACAAAACCAGGCAAACACTTTTAACAGGTCTAGATTTTTCCTTTTAATTTAGAGAAAAAATATTTTATTTGACTTTTTAATTGACAAATAAAATGGTATCTATTTGTTATGCAGCATGTTGTTTGGCTCCATGTGTGTATTGTGGAGGGTAAGCAGGGCTAACTAACATGTGAAGGGCCTCAGAAACTTGTTTTGGAATGTATGCTGTTAGGGATTTTCAGGTAGACAATATATTGCTATTACCTGTGATCACCACGAGGTACGATAGATGAGTTGAGCTTATACTTCCTGTCTAAATGAACTCTTGTATCCTTTGGTCAGCAGTTTGCCACCACCCTACTTGCAGCCCCTGGCAACCATCCTTTTACCTTCTGCTTGGTGAGTTCATTGTGTTTAGATTCCACATATAAACAAGACCATGTGGTTTTATTTACTGTCTCTACCTTCCCTGTTGCATCTGTTCCCTAAGGCCACCTTCCCAAATGCTTAGTGTCCACACAGTGCTCTGATCCTTCTCTGTGACCCTCTCTTAGGTCTATGCCATTTTACAAAACGGTCAAGATTTTACAATTATTTGTATCCATTCTTCCAGCACAAACACTCTTTTTTTGTCTGTAAAAACAAATTTATTAAAAGGCTCATAATTATAAAAGAATATTAAAATGCACAGAAATTAACGAACATTAATTACAAATGCTATACCTTAGCCACATTGTAGGAAAAGCGTACGCATGTTTTGGATCTGCATAGGTTTTGACTTCTTAGGCATCTCACCACGCGAACGCAAGACGACGGTGCGAGCTGGGCTTCAGTGACGAGACCATTCTGGCCCCGGCCCTGCCTGAACATTTTATGAAATTCTAGATGCACCTGCGATGCGAGGCTGGGGGGGTTGGTGTTTCAAAACAAAAAATGATCACAAACACTCTTATAAGTACTAGTTTTGAGGAGAAAAACCTGCTGAAACTAATTTGTACTAACTCACGTTCCTCCCCCTAGCAATAGACACTCGCATTTTGGTAGTAGTTGTGCCTGCTCCCTGCTCCCACTCCCTGGGAGAGTTTCCCGCCTGGGTTTTTGATCTTATATTATGACTCAATGTATTTCAACCATCGAAAGTCAACAAGGAACCACTAAGACATCTCAGAATCTCTTCTTCAGACAGGCATACGTACAATTAAAATTGTTAAAAGATTGTTTGAAAATATTACTTTGAGACTTGCATATTGCTTAGAATTAGTAAAAGAAGAATATCAAGGTGAATTACTGTATTCATGGTATTGTATTAAAAGATCATCTGTATGTTAAAAAATGGTGATCATATTCTTCAGTACTTGTATTTCAAAACGTAAATTGATATCAATTATAATTCAGTGATATGATTTTTATTATATTTTACATCTACTAAAATTGTTGTGATCATTTTCCAAGAGCCCTAAGGTAGAAAAAACCAGTAATGAGATTAGCTATTATTTTTTACAAAACATTAGTCTGGTGTAGGATTCAGCATGTTAAAAAAAAAGACATAACTATGTTAAAACATGAAATAATCTCCAATCTGTCATAACTGCTTATTTGAAAGCAAAGAATACAACATATGGGTCATTTCTTTTTCTGGTCACCTCTAACAAGATAAGAATCTACAAAGCTGATAGGAAGATCAGTCCATGACCAAAATGCTTACTCAGTTACTACCGGAGATCAAAGAATGTTATACTAAATCTGGAATCTACTAAGACAAAGCAATTCTTTTCTTTGAAAAAATATATAGAGTTGAGAAAATTTCTGGGATTTGTCTGTAAAAGTACCCTCTGGGCCTTACTAGTGACGTTTTAGGGAAATGCGTCTCACGTTGGGAAGGTTGGGAGGCGGTGTTTTGTGGGCTCTGAGAGTGGTTATGTAGTTCTCAGAAAACAGTACTGGAAATTAGATAATTGCTGATGTCATATTTTTCACAATAAAAAAATTTGGTGTCCTGGGGGGCTATAAAAGCAGTCTCTTCTACCTTGCCCATCACAAGCAGAATCACCGAGACAGGTGAGTGTCTGAGCAAACTTGGTGCGACTGCTTTCTGTGGTGTGGGATCTCTCTGCTAAGTTCGTTCCGTCACGCTGTCTCTGCCTCTTGTTCTCTGGGTACCAGGTTCTCCTTGCCCGCTCGCCCACTGTTCGAGTTGGAGTTGTCTGCAATGGCTGCCCTGCAGAAGTCTGTGATCTCGTTCCTGATGGGGACTCTGGGAGCCAGCGGCCTCCTGCTCATGGCCCTGATGGCACACGGAGGAGCTGCGCTGCCCATCAGCTCCCACTGCAGGCTGGACGAGTCCAACTTCACTTCCTATATCACCAACCTCACCTTCATGCTGGCTAAGGAGGTACTCATCTCAGTCTGTCTTTCTCACCGTATCTTCTTGGAACCCACGTAGTTCTCGAGATGTCCCTCAGAACATTTTGAAGATCTTTAAGAAGCCATCATTTATGCCCCCCAAGGAGATACTTTTTTATGGCTCTTCAAAGACTCCAGGGATTTGATTTTTTACCAGGACTCTTTCCTTTCATTTCGGCCTTAAGGAGACATACCTTGAGTTTTACCCAATGAGGAGTCACTCAGTAGAACATCTGATAATCAATTCTGTCCTTTACTCCTCTGTGTATTCATGGAAACTCAAGTAGGCATCTGCATTCTGTCTAGTCTTTATGGAGGGGAAAGGGTGTGGAGCATATTTCCACTTACAGACTTGTCTTCTGTCTCTTCAATGTCTGGACAATTTCGCCTTTTCTTCTCTTCCAGGCCAATTCGGCAGATAACAACACAGATGTTCGTCTTATTGGGAATGAGCTGTTCCATGGAGTCAATGTAAGCTGTTGTTGTAATGAGCAGTACTTGGATCAGCAGGGTGGAGGGTTTGTATCTTCTGGGTGTCCCCTGACGTGACCCTTGCTGTTTGCTTCTACCTGCAGGAGAAAGACCACTGCTATCTGCTGAAGCACGTGCTCAACTTTACCCTTGAAGAAGTGCTGTTCCCCGAGTCTGATAGATTCCAGCCCTACATGCAGCAGGTGCTGTCCTTCCTGGCCAAGCTTAGCAACAATCTCAGCCAATGTGTAAGTTTTCTCAGCCTGTGTCCACCTACCTGTGACCACCTTCCTTCCGCCTCCCTCATATCCAGCTCCTTTCCCACAGTCCTCACCCTTTCCCCTACCCCTAGGCTGGCAGTGAAGTGTCTCCCTGTTCTCAGTTGGAATCATGGAAGCTTTGTTTTTGTTTTATCTGCTTTACATTTTGGCTTTTGTGGTGGTGAGAGGGCCTGGGAGACCAGTGTAGAGAAGGCTCATTTGTTTGTCCCTGGACAGGAAGCAACTGAGGTTCTGTAGGATGAGAACGGTGTTGGGAGCTGTAAAAGGTCTAGATGTGAAAACGGCCCCATTGAGTATAAGCTGTTGGAGCAGGGATGGCCAGGAGAAAGTAGAAGAAGGAGAAAGTGGCAGAGTTTAACGGTGGTGGTGGGTGGGCGAAGACTGCTCCCCTTTTAAAGTCATGTGAAGTGACAAAATCAGAGGAGGGTCAACTTGGTGCCCTTGGACATTGAAAACTATGACAACAGGTTGGAGCGGAGTGGGCAGGGTGAGCGGCCCTGCTCTTCACTGAGGGGGGAACCACCTTTTTTGCATAGCGCTTTTACCAACGTTTCTTGTACTGAGCACACAGTTTTGATGAGGTCCTGCTAGGGTTTTATTCCTAACAGATTTTGCATGCTCCGTTACACCCTTTCCACCAACTTAAAGCACAGTAGGTTTTCCTAAAGAGAAGAGATACTCTCTCTGTCAGAGAAGTGACAGGATTTAGTGTCCAAGGGCATTGAAAAGTGAAGAAAAATCCAGGTCACTGGCAGATGTAGGTCATTGTGGGCAAAATTAGTAAGAGCTTTGAATCCAGGTGCATTGTCACATACCTCAGATGCGTGTTGAGGTTCACAGCATTTCAGCAACGTTGACACAGTGACTCTTGTTTTCGATTCGTAGCATATTGAAGGCGATGACCAGCATATCCAGCGGAATGTGCAGCAGCTGAAGGACACAGTGAAGCAGGTGACGTTGATATCTGTTACTGCTAAGTCAGCCAGTGGGAGAGACAATGCTTTTCTATCTTTTCTTATTTTTTCCTCTCACTTTGTGATTTTTTTAAAACTTGAGTCTTTTAACATCAAGTGGATTGCTTAGATGCATGTATATTTAGATGTGTGTCTTTGTCGTCTTTCTACTGTCTAATCTATCATCTATCTATACATATATTTCCAAATTTTACAAGTCATAGAATTCTAGAAATGCCTGGGAAGTTGGGTCATCTACTTTTTTTTTTTTTTTTTTTGGACAGGCAGAGTTAGACAGTGAGAGAGAGACAGACAGACAGAAAAGTCTTCCTTCCGTTGGTTCAGCCCTCAAGTGGCCGCTACAGCCAGCGTGCTGTGCCAATCTGAAGCCAGGAGCCAGGTGCTTCCTCCTGGTCTCCCATGTGGATGCAGAGCCCAAGCACTTGGGCCATCCTCCACTGGCTTCCAGGGCCACAGCAGAGAGCTGGACTGTAAGAGGAGCAACCGGGACAGAACAGGCGCCCCAACTGGGACTAGAATCCGGTGTGCCGGCACCGCAGGGGGAGGATTAGCCTAGTGAGCCATGGTGCAGGCTGGGTCATCTACTTTTACCACCCCATGTTCTTGGGGAAGCCAGTGGTAGAGCCATGGTTAGAATGCAGGTGTCCTGGCTTCCAGTCCTGCATTTTGCCTGGGAGAATATTAAGTATTAGACTTAGAGTAAGTGATTATTAGGGAAATTTCATATTCCTGTGGACTCATGTAATCTGAAGAAGCACTTGTTCAAAAGCAGAAAAGGATCTGAGGACAAACTCATTTGAAACAGTTTTAGAAGGCCATTAATTTGATGCTCTGAAACTTGGTGAACTGAAACCCAGAATGACAGTAACAAGAGAACTGAACTTGCATATAGGCCGAATTTCTGAATCATTGATATTTTCACTGAATTATCACGACATAATAGCCAATAACACAATGGATTTTCATTTAAAAGCAAAACTAGAGAGGCCCTGGTTTCTTTTATATTTTTTCAAATAAAGTGAAAATATTAGTTATGGGTTCATTCTAGTGAAATGAAAGTCTGAATTGAAATTCTTTTCTTCCACTCTTCCTTTGCTTGCTTTCTGGTTTCTTCCTTCCCTCTTATCAAACCCCTGGCTACCACCTTTCAACCATGAGCTGGTGTACATTTTGATGGCGAATGGTACCACTAGGTTGCCCATTTGTGGAAGGCTCACTCTAGCAGCTGTCACTCACCCCAGACCAGAGGAATGATTTGCAGCAGTCAAAGCGATGCTTTTACCAGCAGGTGCAGATACATACACAGAAACAGCAGGGCTCTGAGTTGATGGAATTTTCAGTCACTAGCTTAATCTCAAGCCCTTTTTTTCTATCTTGGTTTTTTGAAAAAGTGTTTCTTCTTGAGCACATGTTGATGGCTATGACTGTTTCTTCTTTTGATAATTGCAGGCTTTGTGGTTTTTCATGGTGATGCTTAGGCCTCTCGCTAGAGAACTGTTCCCTAGACATGAAGGATTGAATGTTGGCAGGCCCAAGGCAGGCTTTGCTTTTCTCATTAAAAAAAAAAATCCCTGAGGTCAGCTTACTTAGTTGTCCTCAGAAAAGTAAAGTGTGAGAGGCACAAATCTCATGGTGGTCTGTGTGGGAAAACAGAGATGTTTTTTAAAGCCCTTAGTCTGTTTTGAGCATCTTGAGAGCACCCAATTTTACAAGTGTAGTGGTTTGCCATATGGAAGGATGTTGGTGTGTTGCCTTCATTGTAGCTTCAGGAAGTACAGGCAAGAGAGAGAGGGGCTATGAAGGGAGAACTCAATGGGTGGAAAAACTGGTCAGAGCTGTCTGAATTGGGAGGGGAGTCTTGGGATGATCAAAGTCACTGGAGATCAAAGCAGAGGGCTGGCATAGTAGTAGTAGTAGTAGTAGTAGTGTAGAATGCAGGGCACATGATAAGGCCCAATGAGCTTGACAATTCCTCACAGGCTTGGGAGTCTTTTATATATATATATATAAGTCATATATATATATATATATAAAATATATATATTTATATATATATATATATATATAAATCTTTTGGCATAAATCAAAGGGATGGAAAGGTGGGATGGTGGAGATCAAGAAAACAAAATATAGAGGACAATGATGATGGGGTGTTTCCTTCTTTTTTAAAAATAAGATTTCTTTTATTTACCTGAAAAGCAGAATGACACAGAGAGAAGGAGAGCAGGGTGGGGTGGGGGGGATAATTCCATCCACTGGTTCAAATGGCTGCAACAGTCAGAGCCAGTCCAGGTCAAAGTCAGGAGCCAGCAACTCCATTCAGGTCCCCTACATGTGTGGCAGGGGCCCACATTCTTGGGCTATCTTCTGCTGCTTTCCCAGGTACAGTAGCCAGGAGCTGGATGCAAAATAGAACAGCTGGGACTGGAATAGGTGTTCTGATATGAGATGCCAGATGGGATTTTTCCTGAAATAATCCAGAGTAGGTGTAACAGACCAGGAGACTTTCAGAAGACAATGCTTTGACCTTGATTTTTTTTTTCCCACTGAGTTTGAGAGCCTTATCTGCACACAGCTTGGAAGGAGGGGAAGAGAAGGAATATTAAAACCTGCATCTGGCTTTTGTTAATTAAAGCAACCAGAATGGATATATTTGGTGTTTTCCACACAAAAGTGAAAGTCTATTTGTTTTTCTTTGTCAAGAAGGTGGGAGCACAAAAAGCCCAAGGATTGATAAATGTGCACTTTTGATTCAAGGCTGCTTGAACTGAATTGTTGTCAATACTTGGTCATAGACTGTAGTGGACCACGTGGCAGGGCAAGCCATAGTGGGTGGTACTCAGGATCCACTGATCTCAGCATAACTTCCATCTGCTTATTCTGGTTAGGAAGATGTGGGCAACCCTCTGCTATACCCCTCCTCCCCCCATTAAGTGTTTCCATTTATTTTTAGTTGGCAAAGAACAGTTGTGTATGTTTAGGGCATACAATGTGATATTTTAATATACGTATCCATTGCAGAAAGAGTCCATCCACCTAATTAACACACCCTTCCACAACTTCATTAGTGTGAGGTACAATGGAGATGGATGCCTATTGGTGCCCTCTCAGCTCACATAGCCACAATTTAAGGTCTTTGCCAAATCATATTAGGCGCCTGCTAAAAGGGTATTATTATTATTATTATTCCTTTGAAGTACACTAAAACTTGTTTGCTATATCCAGCAAGCTAATCATACCATTTGCCTCTAATTTGTTTCTCTTTAGAAAATCTGATATAAATACTTTTGTATTCTTATTTTCCCAGCTTGGAGAGAGTGGAGAGATCAAAGCAATTGGAGAACTGGATCTGCTGTTTATGGCCCTGAGAACTGCCTGCGTTTCACCGGAGCAAAGCTGGAAAATGAGTTAACTCACCTTCGTGCCTGTTAAGAATCTCAATAAGGTTTCTGGAGAGATTTTTTTTTTTTTTACTAAAAGGAAAACTGGAAACTCTTCGTAGGTAGATTCCAAACAAACCTCTCCTTACTTCATAAGGAAATCGATGCCACTTTTGTCCATAAGACCAGAAGGTAGCTTTCCCAAGCAAAAAGTGATTTATCAATGACATTTTCTTGAAACAAGTGTTTCATACACATAAAATAACTTATTTTTAAGCAATTATCTATTGCCACCAAAAAGATTACTTCCCATTCCTTTAGGAAAAAAATCTCAAATAACTTCATGTGTCTATAATCAATACTTTATATTTATAAATGTATTTATTATTATACATATGCATTTTATTTATGTGAGTTTATTTATAGAAATGATGTTTCATATTACCACTTGATTAAAATTCTAATATTAATATTTTGACAATAATTATGAAGCTATTATTTGATCTTAATAAACACGTGGACATCCTAAGTATTGTATCTGGTGGTTTTTCTCCTTGAATATCATCACCGTCATGTGATCACTCTCATAATTTTATTCTTGACTCTAAGTAAAATAAGGTAACTCTTGGTATTATCCCCATTTTACAAATAAAAGAAAATGGAAGCAGGAATATATTATAACTCCAAGTAGCTGAGCTCATTGAGCTCCGTCTATGTGATTCAAGACTTCCTGTTGTATTGCCTGTATTTGTGTTGATTCTGCACATAAGGAAAGATAGGGCATCAAAAGGAATCCCTCAGTGTTATTAGCAATTTGTGGATAAGAGAAAGAAGTGGGATTGCTGGGGAGAAATACATGCATCCTGTCTTGTTGGAGAGGACCTGTTGTAGTTCTGATTCAAGGCTATTAGGGAGGATGTTCTCTGGTCTTCCTGTAAATAAGGCAATACAATAACAAGGAAGCTGTCTGTGTCTACTACCAGTGAAGTTTCACACTGATAGAGAAGTCCTGGAGGTGGAAGATGAGCAGAGAGGGAGAGAGAGAAAGAGAGAGGAAGCGAGAGTGAATCATGTGTCTTTAACATTTGTACAGTGGTACTGAGAAGAGAGAGCAGAGGTAGAGAAAAAGGTTGGACTAGCCCTACCCAGAAGGATAGACAAAGGGTGCCAGTGTGGAGCCATTTCTTGGGGGAAGGGCTTTTAGAGATTCTACAGGTCATTTGTAGAGTCAGTAAGAGTTAGAAGTCAAGGGTTAGTAGCCTGAAGAGTTTCCTTGGGTTTATTCCACAGGTCACCCACCAGTTGCCTGCCTAGTTCCTGCAGGATTTGGTCACGTCTGGTGTTGAGGGGTGAGCACTTATGTAAACTGCACACTCACACGAGGAGTTTATACTTTCAGGTTTGAGCTCCAAATGCTGAGAAATATCAATATTAGACCTCAGGGATGATGAAATTGTAGTTATTTATAGAGAAAATAAGGTTTTGAGCTTTTTCCTCTCTTCTTCCAAGTGAGTCCCACTGGGACCAGAGCAAACCCAAGTGTCCTGGTCACTGATGGAAAAAAAAGTGGATAAGACTGAGATGACTGATCTTGACCACCAAGAGGAAATCGCATTGCTGCTACACTACGAGGGCTAAGTGGACAGTAACTGGACAATGGGGAGTCTCTAGGATGTCTTGTAATATCCCCTCGCTCAAGAGTCTCACCAAGGGAAAACTGCATCAACCCCGAAGAGACAGGATCATTAGGTTCTTCTAATTCACTTCTACAGGAATGAAGGGTTAAGTCACTTTATCAGATGAAGGTCTTCGTCCCACTGAGATGCAGACAGAGGGTAAAGGGAAATGGAATGAGTGAAGTCCAAAGTTATTAAATGTTGGTCTGTGCAGAAAGAACAGGTCTTCAAAGAAGGAGGTACCTTTCTCTGAAGGGAGGAGAGAACCTCCACTTTGACTATGACCTTGTCTAAACAAGATAAGAGTCAGAGAACTCAAAAGGCTTCCATAGCCTTGGAAACTCATGACTGGAGCATAGGGAGACTACTGATGCCATAAACAAGAGTGTCAATTTGTTAAGTCAACAACAGGAGTCACTGTGCACTTACTCCTCATGTAGGATCTCTGTCCTTAATGTGCTGTACATTGAGATTTAATGCTATAACGAGTACTCAAACAGTATATTTCACTTTGTGTTTCTATGGGGGTGCAAACTGTTGAAATCTTTACTTAATGTATGCTAAACTGATCTTCTGTTAAAAAAAATTATCAATTCCCAACTTGACTCTCACTGGGATTAAACATGACAATAGGTCTGACCTGATTTCATCATCATTTAAAAAATCATCTATTATTTTTCACTTTATGCTTCTGTGTGGGAGCAAACTATTGAAATCTTTACTTAATGTATGCTAAACTGATCTTCTGTATATAAAGAGAATCCAAAATGAATCTTGATGTGAATGGAAGGGGAGAGGGAATGAGAAAGGGGAGGGTTGCAGGTGGGAGGGAAGTTATGGGGGGGAAGCCATTGTAATCCATCAGCCATACTTTGGAAATTTATATTCATTAAATAAAAGTTAAAAAAAATTTTGGTCTGTGGACAGCAATGCAAGAAGATGCAGAGCTGATATGCTTTCTCTGAGGGAGTTGCTTGATCTTTCTTCTCCTCTATTCCAGCTTATATGAAGAGTACTTGCGTTGTCTAATATTTTAGTGGGAATGTGACCACACTGACAATACCTTCTTATGATATATTGGTAGCTGATGAAATTCCATGTGTTTCTTGAGTAGGAAACATACCTTTTTTTTTTTTTTTTTTCCATCACCACCAGGATAAAGACAAGAGTGGATGTTGAGGACAAAAAGAACCAGTTGTGCCCATTTGGCCATCTGGTTTCCTACTCTTTTTTCATGTTTCTTTGTGTCCAGGGAGGCTGACATAGATGGATTGCCTGGCATGCATGATTTCTCTCTGGCTTTTGATTTCATCTGGCTAAAGGAGAAGTTAGCAGGAGATTGAAGGGTTAGTGTTTAAAAGGTCAGGGTATTGATTCTCTGGGGAGCCTTCCTGCCAGGCTGCCATCCAGAACATGAGGCTACTTCTCTGAAAAGCCCCAGCTCCTGGTACAGCCCTTCTTCATTTAGCTCCCTTTCTCCTTTCCCATAAATTGTTCTCCATCCTGGCCCCCAAAGGCTTCTAGTTATTGTTAACCCCATGGCATTGCACCGCTTCTCTTTGGTTTCCCTAAACTTTCCACACCTTAACAAAAGCCAATCCCTTATTAAACTCCTCTCCGTTGTCCCATAGGCATGTGCCATGTTTTCCTGCTGGGACTCTGAATCGTTTACCCTTCTTCTCTTACTCCTCCCCAACCCCATGGAGCAGCAGGATGCAACCTGAAAGTTCAGATGAGTTCATTTATTGACAATAAACCCAGCCAGCTTTTGGCATATCTGGGTTGTATGAAAGCATTTGAACCTGTAATAATCAGAAATGACAGTCTCTTGGTTTTTAAAATTAAAACACTTTGTTGAATACATTATTCTCTGTGTGTCTCCCACAGGTTTCACCACAGGAAAACAGAGGTGCTTAGGCAGTGTGCACTGTGTCCCAAGGGGTACTGAAGACCCTCTTCTCCCTTTCGGCCCTGGGAGTTCCCGTATCCCTTTCTGTGGCTGATCCCAGCCCTCTTGGCAATCTTGACATCAGGCTACTATCCCACTAGGCGATGAGAGATGTAGGCAGCCTTTGGACAAGTCAAGGCCAAGGAGGATGGTGGTCAAAAGCATTCTGTGGAAATTGGCTGGTGTTGCAGAGAAGCAGAGAAGTCGCTTGCATGTGTTGATGCCTGCTGACCTTTCGTGCTTCCTTGATGTGCCGCCTGTTTTGTATATAAATATCGCTGAGACGCTGGAATAAATGAGCCTTGATCAGCCCTTTGTCTTGGCTCCATTCTCTGTGCCCTTGTTCCTCTTTTCATTCCCACTCCCTCCTTCAGGTTCTGTTTGGTGCGGCTAGCCCACACAGGTGGCGCCCGAACAGGGACCTGAATAGGAGGGAACTGCATGAGGAACCCTGAAAAAGGAAGGAAGCTGCCGCTCGATACTGTGGAGGAGTAGGTGAGTACCCACTACCTGTAATCCTCGGTAAGCAATAGATGGGGCCATATGGGACAAGCACAGGGACAAAGAGAGGTAATTAAGGCCGTTAAAAATGTGCTCCAGATGCAGGGAATAGGGTTAAAGAGACAAACCGTAGAGCAATTTGTTAGCGCTGTTGAAAAAATTAGTCCTTGGTTTGCTGAAGAGGGTGTTGTGGATGAAGAATATTGGGATTTATTAGGAGAAGAGTTGAATGCCCATTTGCGGGCTTTTGGTCCCGATGATCTCCCTGTTATCACATTTTCTTTATGATCTCTGATAAAAGAAGCATTATCGGCACAAAAAGGAAAGGTTAGTGTTTGGTGGGCCACACGGAGCCTCCAGGAAACATTTGAGGAGGTGCGCAATCAGGCGTCGCAGGCAGAAGAACCGCTCCCTTGTGACACTGTGCCACAAAAACTGACAAATCCAGAAAGAAAGGCTTCAGAATATGGACCACTTGTGCTTGGACTCCTGGAACTCCCCTGCAGTTCTTTGGCACCAGGACTATGGTTACCCACAGGTGGGGATGGAAGAATCACACAAGATCTCGCCTGCAAGATACCTTCTCCTGTCCTGCTAATCAGCCATGTTCCATGATGAATTTGACAGTAATTGGATAAAATGTAACTACTTAAACTAGAAATAAAAAATATAAATCAGTGTACACTGGACAGCCCCCACCCTGCATTTAAATATTTCAGCTGAAGTAAATGTTACCTGTTGTAAAGTTAGTATTACTATGTGAAAAGAGGAATTGTGGTGACAACAATGTAATTCTTCCATCACTGAATTCAGTGTTACCCATTCTGTTCTGTATTATGTACTAACTCTACCCCTATTACTGATAGGAATGCTTGGGCAGATTACGCTTGGTTTGCTTTACAAAAGAATATAAATAAAAATACTCCGCATATACTTAGGATTCTACAAACCTGCAAAAATGTAACAATTACAGATAATAAGAGGCTACTAGTATTCTGGCTAAATGGTTACCCACCGTGTTCCATCCACCGGGAAATCTGCTGTCTTATCAAAAAGAAATGTTGCAAATATTTAATGAAACCCAAATCACTAATTTTAGAGTAATATATATCCTAACTCAAAAGAAAAAGCCCAACGACAAATAATGGAAAATCACCCAAAATATGGCAAACTCTATTTAAGATACTATGTTTATGCAACCACACTTAGAAGGATACTATATAGATAATAAAAATATTAGTTACTCTTTAGATCAATGTGAAGATACTAATCAAGGACCGTCTTGCTGCAGTATCCTTAAAGCAATGGAGCCATGTCTATTGCAACATTCTGTTAATCTATGCTCCTTTACCATCTTTCCTTTAAATAATTTCAGTGTACTCTATGAGGTTGCCCCTCAACATGTCTGTTCAGCAAGTAACAATGCCTCAGATCTCCATGCCATGGGATTGTCTCAGGCTGTCTGCAGCAGCTTGAGTTGCTCTATTGGATCGCTGATGTTTTTTATGTCCCTGACATGCGTGCCCAAGAGGTTGATTCCCCTAGGATATATCTCAATTTATCCTTGAAACACATTGAATTATTTTTGTATTTGATTACTGGATGTATACTTGTATGAGAAATTTGTATTGTATTCTTATGATGCAACGAGCCCATGTTAATTGTGCCTACACCTCGATGCAACCCTAATGTGAGGACGGATTTTTAGGATGGAGAGGCTAGGTTTGGCTCTGGTAAACAAGTAACTTGTCTGCTGGAAGACCTTCTCCTGCTCCTTGGGAACCTGGCCAGTTCCCCGGGAGGAGGATAAAGGAATGTTTCTGATAAACAGGTGGGCTTTGTGTCTCGGCTCTCTGGCCAGGATCTGAGACAGGACGCACTGCTTGCCTAAAATCTTGGCAATGAGCCCCCTTTGTCCTTGGGGGCTTTGGGAGGGAGCTGGAGCAAGCCTCTGCTGCTGCTGTTCCATCCTGGGGGAACACGCAGTCATGCTAAACGTTGAACGTGCTCGTGATGAGGGATTAGCAAAATGGATTCACTTAGAAACAGGACATTCAGGACCTGCCATTATGCACAGATCCTCTCTTAGTTTCTACTCTATGTTGGACCGTTGTTGCTTTTCTTACTTTGTTTGGGATGCCTTCTGTGTGTTTTGCAACTTATGCTAAATGCATTACAGTCTGTATGGACCGAGATTCATCATTTAAAACTCCGTACCAAACCTCCCTTGTAATCAAGATAATTGTTATTTGGTCATACATTTTGTCCGTCCAAGACTTTTGCTTAATGCCTAGCTGGAATGATCCTCAGAGACGGGTAAGACACTCAGCATTCTGTACCAACCTAACACAGGGCTCTAGGCCAACCTGCCAGAGTTACCAATGATGGGTAAGGACAGAGATGACTGAGGGCAACCTAAGACAGAGGCCATTCTCAATAAAATAAAAAAGGGGGAAATGTAGGCAGCCTTTGGACAAGTCAAGGCCAAGGAGGATGGTGGTCAAAAGCATTCTGTGGAAATTGGCTGGTGTTGCAGAGAAGCAGAGAAGTCGCTTGCATGTGTTGATGCCTGCTGACCTTTCGTGCTTCCTTGATGTGCCGCCTGTTTTGTGTATAAATATCGCTGAGACGCTGGAATAAATGAGCCTTGATCAGCCCTTTGTCTTGGCTCCATTCTCTGTGCCCTTGTCCCTCTTTTCATTCCCACTCCCTCCTTCAGGTTCTGGTGCGGCTGGCCCCCACAGAGAGAATTATGGCACCTAAATAATTCTGACTTTCCTCAACCTTGTGTTTTGTCTGCTTCTCTTATGTGTGGCCCTTCCTTCTCCTTTCTCCTCGTCCCTGTTACAGCTGCTGACATTACTCAGGGTTACCCTACGTGCTTCTAGCAATCACATCCTTCCTTGCTT